ATATGGCTTGTAAAACCACAACTCCCATGATTCCACAGCTGTTGCAGCTCAGCCAGGGGATGATGATTATGAGTTCACTGATGATTCAGAAGGGATTGTGGGATTTCCTGATGTTCAAAGTAAAGCAGATTCAGGCCAGGTTCAAAGTGTGGAAGATTCAGGCCAGGGAAATGAAACTGGCTCAGGCAATGCCGTGCTCCAAGGTCAATCACAGGTCAATCACAGGAGCCAGAAACAACATCATTAGATAAGGGGTTGGGTGAAGAAGAATGAAGTGAAATGGAAAATTCTCAAGGGAAAGCACCTGGTGTTACAGAGATAAGTCCCCCTGGGGAGATAGGGAGGAATATAAACCAAGTTTTATTATTATTATAGTTTTATTATAAGCAAAAGTCTTTGTTTACAGTTCAGAGCAGAGAATCGGCTCTGTAGGTCCGAGAGAGTATGTGGCAAAGAGATAGACAAAATTTGTGGGAAATGACATGATTTCATGAGTGCTTATTAACAGCCAGTTGTTTACCTTAAAGTTAGTTCAGGCAACATTGGCTTTCAAGTGAGAAGCTAGGCCTGAGTTCTGGTGTCAAGTCAAGTCCTGGTTTTAGATTCGGGTATCCTGGAAGCTTTCTATTTTCTGGTTTTATGATTCTTGCTCAAGTTTTTCTAAATATACCTTTTGTTTATGGATTTATGTTGTACTTGTGAGTTTTGGCTATTCTTGGACTGTGTTACCTTTGAATTTTTATGAGACATTTGGACTCCTATGTGGCTATCACTTATTGCTAAACCTTTTTTGGATTATCCATCTCCTTATTTCCTGCTTTTTCATATATTTTATGTGTTTGTTTTTTTTTACAATAAACAGTTTGCCTGTACTCTGGACTCTTGTGTAGCGCTGTGGTCATAGGTGGCTCTAAACCTCGGGTGCAACAACAGCATTCAGTCATGGCAATTAAGTGGTGGCAAACTGCATTAAATATACAGTTTAGATGCACCCTCCATGGAATCTCTGATACATGCTTGCTTAAGGTTTTGGAAATACTTTCAGCTGAGCTTTTTTTAAGATTCACTTTACTCTACGGATCTCACTGATTATCTAGTGCTGAAATATGCAGTCAACTGATGCTTTGGGTTCCTTTCACAGCTTTTCATGCCATTTTCATGCCACTATTTTACCCATTATGGAGCCTCCGGTGGCATAATGGGTTAAACCTTTGTGCCGGCAGGACTAAAGACCAACAAGTTGGAGGTTCGAATCCGGGGAGAGCAAGGATGAGCTCCCTCTGTCAGCTCCAGCTCCCCATGCAGGGACATGAGAGAAGCCTCCCACAAGAATGGTAAAACATTAAAACATCTGGGATCTCCTGGGCAATGTCCTTGCAGACAGCCAATTCTCTCACATCAGAAGCAACTTGTAGTCACTCCCGACTCGAAAAAAATACCCATTATTAAATAACCTTAACTGCAAAGGTGAGCAACATCTGGCTTTCCAGATGTTACTGGACTACAATTACCATGTTGGCTAGAGCTAGTGAGAGCTGCAGTCCAATAACATTTGATTACTGGAGTTATCCAGCCCTGGTTTCCATGCAAGAAAAAACACTCCATTCAAGACTCCTCCTACATTTGCATCAATGCATGTTAATAGGAAGCTCCCATGACTGCAGATTCTCTCCCACATTTGAGTGGGCAGTTACTGTGCATATAAGCGGAACTGTTATCTAAAGAAAAATATGGAATCTTTCATTGTTCCTTCTAGCTAAACCAAATAGCTGAATACCTTTTCTATGCTTAAACACAAAACATTTCTCATTCACAAACTTCTGGATGGTATGAAATAGGGAGAATATAATTCACTATAATAAGAACGCTATGTAAGACTATTATGCTTCCCCCTCTGTATCACTGCCCGCTTGGACCACAAACCAAAACACCTTTAGGGACACAGAATTTTCAGAAACGCGCTATCAACCTAAACACAAATGTTCTGTCAAGCTGTAAGTATTCAACAGCTGTTGCCGCTGAATAATTATCCTCAATAATGATGCTCTTGAGATAATTATTTGCAAAACATTTCTGTACGTTTCTGAAGATGCAACTGCAAGCTTAGAGTCTTCCCCGATCATTAGTGCAAAGCTGATCATTTCTTTGAACCAGGGCAGTGCTTGATTATTCTTGCTTTCAACTGTTGGAAATGATTCATTCCCCTCTTTCCAGAACTACTGGCAGGCCCACAAGGGCAAGTTAGCATTTAAATTGAGTCTTCAATATCATTTGCCCTGTGCAGCAAAAGGAGATTTAAGACAACTGAAAGAATCATGTGAAGATTTCACACACAGAGGCAACCTGAGTCTCTTGTGAGGAGACCATAAACGCTGCACCTCTCAGCAGCACTGCCTCCTACACATAGAAGGAAAGGGGGCGGAGAAAAAGAGAAGAGACAGGAGGTCTGTTCTTTTTCAGCTTTGCTTTTTCTTCCAGGAAGAATGGAAGGGAACAGTCTTCAGCAGTGTAGCTGGACAAAGGTGTCGGCCCTAATGCATCACTCAGGTTTGCTCTCTATTTCCAGCAAGTGCCAAAGGAAGAGCATCCGCTATCCCTCCCATTTCATATGGTGATGCCCATGGGGCGCCTGTGCAACACTGGCTCCTTCCTCTCCAACTTGCCTTCTTTTTCCACATTTGCCACATTCTGGGAAGCACCTCAAAAGCGACATTCATTCTTTCCCTGAAGCAAAACTCTCCGACCTTGCCCTCTTGCACAAGATGCCTGATCTGAGTCACTTGCGAGTGGATAGCCCATGCATTTTTTCATAGCGTTTTCTTAGGCAAGGGATGAGGCCCTGGTGGGGCAATGGGTTAAACCCTTGTGTCAGTAGGTCCGGGTTTTGAATCTGGTAAATGGGGTGAGCTCCTGTCTGTCAGCTCCAGCTTCCAATACAGGGACACGAGAGAAGCCTCCCACAGGATGGTAAATCATACAGGCGTCACTTGGGCAATGTCCTTGCAGATGGCCAATTCTCTCACACCAGAAGCAACTTGTAGTTTCTCAAGTTGCTCCTGACATGAAAAAAGGCAAAGGATTCTCAGAATCATAGAATCAAAGAGTTGGAAGAGACCTCATGGGCCATCCAGTCCAACCCCCTACCAAGAAGCAGGAATATTGCATTCAAATCACCCCTGACAGATGGCCATCCAGGGGTTTTGTTGCCAGTCCCTTCTTCTGCCAGTCCCTTCTTCTGCCAGTCCCTCTTCTGCAATACAGTCTACAGCTCCCAGGCGTTCTTTGGTGGCCTCCTCTCCAAGTATTATCAAGGACTGGCCCTGTTTAGATGAGATCTGGTGCCTTTTAGGTTCCCTCTGCTCCATATTGATCCAAATAACAATATGTTATGTTTTTAACCATTTATTAAAATTGATTATATGTTATTGCTTTGTTGATTTGAATGCCTAATATATTTGTATTTTATGTGTTTTTATGTTGTAATGCAGTATTGCCAGTTTGCAAGCTGCTCTGAGTCCCCTTCGGGGTTGAGAGAGAGTGTGGTAAAAATACAGGAAATAAAAATAAATAAAGAAATCGCTCTGAGCATGGCTCACAGCCACTATCTAGGAATGCCTCCCTTCTCTGCCTAAGAAGGCTGGATCTGGACTGAAATGCAGCTCTATCGCTTAACATCTAAGAAAGCTCAGGGGAAATGAAACACCGGTTCATCTTAAAGGGACTGCTACAATTCTCTCTCCCTTCCTTCCTTTCTCTCATTCCTTCATTTGCCTTCCCTCCTTTCTTTCCTTCCTTTCTCTCATTCCTTCCTTCCTTTGTTCCTTCTCCTTCCATCCCTTTCTTCTCTTCCCTTTCTTCCTTCATTCCATCTTCCTTTCTATCATGCATTCTTTCCTTCCTTCTCCTTCCTTTTTCTTCCTTCCTTCCTTCCTTCCTTCCTTTCTTCCTTCCTTCTCTTTCCTTCCTTTATCTCCTTCCTTCCTTTCTCTCATTTTTTCTTTCCTTCCTTCTCTTTCCATCCTTCATTGCTTCTGCTTCCTTCCTTCCTTCCTTCTCCTTCCTTCCTTTCTCTCCTTCCTTCCTCCCTCTTCCTTCCTTCCTTCTCCTCCCTTCTCTACCTCACTCCCTTCCTCTCCTTCCTTCCTCTCCCTCCCTTTTCTCCCCTTCCTTCCTCTCCTTTCCTTCCTTCTCTTTCCATCTCTCCATCCCTCTCTTTCCCTCCTTCCTTCTCCTTCCTCTCCCTCCCTTCTTCCTTCCTTTACCTTCCTTCCTCTCCCTCCCTCCTTCCTTTTCCTTCCTCCCTCTCCCTTCTTCCTTCCTTCTCCTTCCTTCCTTATCCTTTTTGTCTCTCCCTCCCTTTCTTCCTTTCCTTTCTCCCCTTCTTTACTGCCTTCCTTCCACTTCACCATGCCTGGCTCCAGACCAGTCTCCCCTCTGAGATGCTTTGCCTCAGGCTGCATCCACACTGAGGAATGAATGCAGTTTAAGTGCCCTGGCCCAATGCTATAGCATCCTGGGAGCCTTTAGCCTTCGCTCCCTCAACAATACACTATCAAAGGCGCATCTCCACAGCCAAAGCCCAATATGTCATTGAGCCTCATCTCCTCTGAACGTCAACATGTATCAATCTGACCCATCATCACCATGCCATCGCAAGGGACCATGGCAGCCCAAGCGAGGTCGAACTTGCCTGCATTGCACAGGGTAGGAGAGATGTCCCTCTACACCAGGCATGGACAAACTTGGACTCTCCTTCTAGGGGATTTGAACTCCAACTCCCACCATTCCTCACAGCCTCAGGCCCCTTCCTTTCCCCTCTCCGCTAGGGTTAGGGAAAGGAAGGGGCCTGAGGCTGTGAGGAATGGTGGGAGTTGGAGTCCAAATCCCTTGGAAGGAGGGCCCAAGTTTGCCCATGCCTGCTGTACCCAGAGGCTCCTCTCCCACTCCTTGAGGCGCTTCAGGCTGGATCTGCAGGAACGGATGGTCCGCTCCCTCCTTACCGTCCCAGCTCGGACTCCAGCTCGTAATAGTCGGCCCAGGTGTCTCGGTTGGAGCCGTCGATCCAGTAATCCGGGGTGTCGGGGGTGGCTCCGGCCGCCCCTAAGCCCCCCACTCGTCCCCCGGCAGGGGCGGCGGAGGAAGAAGTGGCGGAGGGGGGCGAGGAGGGCGAGGAGGAGGGCGAGGCCGCTGCTGCTGCCGCCGCCCCCGGGGAAGGCGAGGAAGAAGAGGAGGGCATGGTGACTTTGAGCATCCTGCGTCCGGGTGTCGGGGCTGGGGTCGCGGAAGAAGGCGCCGGGTCTCAGCCCCCCGGAGGAGCTGCTGCAGGGAGAGCAAGTTCCGAGCCCAGCCAGCTGCGAGAAGGAAGAGAGGGGAGAGTGAGGGAGGGAGGGGGAGAGGCGGCGCGTGCTCGGGGCTCCTAGGCGCGCGCCCGCCCGCGCTCCGAACGCCCCCCCTCCCTCTCTTCAATCTGAGGGAAGCCCTCCTCGCTCTTCAAGCCACACGCTCAAGGAGAAAGCAGAGAGAGGGCGCTGCAGATTGCCGCCCTTCCTTTGGAGTGAAAGAGGCGGCGGTGGCTGTCAATCAAAGAAGCCACGCCTTCTCGCAGCCCCTCAATGGGCGACCCCCTGCAGCAGGACAGCGACCTGGCGAGGAGGGCGCCCCCTC